TTTCCTAGCAACACAGTGTGTGGAAGCCACAGGCCACTGTGCTCTGAGCAGTTGAATTAAACATGTCACCGGCACTCCCTCTTGTCATCCCGAGACTGGTTTTAGAAGGTGACTGGTCTCATACCCTGCCTCTCAAGAAGGGCTCTGAGCTCAAGTGCCTTCCCAGAGTCTCAGTGATCAGCAATGTCCTGGTGTCAGTTTGTACCCATAGACTCTGGTTGGCTGTTTGTGCCACCTAGGGCCCCTGCTCTGACTTACTGCTCCTCCCCGCAGGTATAACGTGGGATGCACCAAACGAGTGGGACTTTTTCACTCAGACCGGAGCAAGTTGCAGAAGGCAGGGACCACAACCCATAACCGCCGACGGGCCAGCAAGGCTAGTCTGCCCACACTTACCAAGGACACCAAGAAACAGGTAAGAGCCCTGTTGAGCTTCCATGGCATGCTGTCTCCTCCAGCATGCTGCTCTCACCTCCTACAGGTCTCACATCCAGCCCTCTCTCGGTCCCCTGGTAGGACCCTTTTCTTAGACCTAGGGGCCCATACCCTCTCCAGTAGTCTTAGCCTAGAATGACCCCACCTTGGGGTTGCCATCCATTCTTGATTTCTTGGGTCTGACCCTGCTGGCCCTGTGGAAAACAGACTATTCAGGGTACCTCCATGTTATGCTGGGAGAAATAGCAGCCTCCACTTTTTCCCCTACTACCTTTTTGCCCCCTTGAAAACTAGAGCACTGAGTTGGTGAAGATCTCCCCATCAGGAACATGGATATTCATCCATTAAATATTTTTTCCCCAACAGTTCCATGCCAGTGATTCTGTTGGGCACTAAAGATCCAAGGGCATAGTCTTTTTTTTTTTTTTTTTTGGTTTTTCGAGACAGGGTTTCTCTGTGGTTTTGGAGCCTGTCCTGGAACTAGCTCTTGTAGACCAGGCTGGTCTCGAACTCACAGAGATCCGCCTGCCTCTGCCTCCTGAGTGCTGGGATTAAAGGCGTGCGCCACCACCGCCCGGCCAAGGGCATAGTCTTAAAGGAACTCACAGCCTAGCATGGCAGTCTTCATCCTTAAGTCGTTGGTGGTGGCGGCGGTGGCAGGGGTGGTGGTGACTTTTATCTTGTATCTGCTAAAAGCTGCAGTCCAGGATGTACATATGTGGGAAGTCCCTCTTGGTCGTCCAGATCACATAAGACACTACTACAGGCCAGACTAAGAGCAGGTTGTTGTAGCACAGTGCTGAGGGACTGACTGTCCAAGGTGGGAGAGCAGGAAGACGGGGTGTGACCCTAGGAATGGGGAACCAAACAGAAAACGGAGCAGCACCTGCCTCCACCCCTGCTTGACGTGGGAGTGGTCAGTTCCCCAATCCTGAAGAACTCTATTTCTCTCTGCTCCCAGCCCTCAGGCACTGTACCCCTTTCAGTTACTGCTGCCCTGCAGCTGACACACAGCCAGGAAGACTCTAGCCGGTGCTCAGACAACTCAAGCTATGAGGAACCCTTGTCACCCATCTCAGCCAGCTCATCCACCTCCCGACGGCGACAAGGCCAGAGGGATCTGGAGCTCCCTGACATGCACATGCGGGACCTGGTAGGCATGGGACACCACTTCCTACCAAGTGAGCCCACGAAGTGGAATGTAGAAGATGTCTATGAATTCATCCGCTCCTTGCCAGGTGAGTTCCTTGGAAACTTTACCTGCTGGAATCATGGGAGTGAGGGGAGATGAAGACCTCACCTCCCTCCAGGAGGAAGCAGGACCCAGGGTGCAGAGGCAGGAACACAAGGCTCCTGCTTGTGAAAGCTTATGTTCTAACACAGCAGACTATGGAATACTTGATGACCACCATTTGAAACAGCTGCAGTCTAGGACGTAGTCTGTGAAGTACATGAGCGTGAAATTAGCTCTGTCTCTTCCTGCGCAAGGTGGGAAGGAAGTCAGGAGGACTGTGGTGTCATGAGAATGAACAAGCTGGAGTGAGCTTTTTCAGGCTGAGAAAGAGCAGCTTGAGCAAGGACAAAATGTATGGTATAGTGGGCTCTGTGGATAGCCCTTGGCGTGGAGGGCAAGTGGATATGAAGTTGGCATCAACTTGGAAAGGCAAATTTTCTAGCATTCCAGAGTCTTCCAGGGGAACCCTGAAACTTCTTCCCTTTCTGCCAGCTTCATGCATCTACTTCAGGGCAGCAGTGATGGTGGCCACAGCCTGTGCAGGGGAGAGTGTGGTATAGAAATTGTAGGTGAGACAGAACTGGGTCCAGTCCTGTCATTCTCACTTAACCTCGTCTATTTGTTGTCTGTCGTGTGCCCTCAAGTTCATCATAGGATGGTTCCTTTTGTCCTGCAGCCCTGTCTCATGCTCCTTAGGAAGATACAGCTTTGTGTCAGCCAAGGCCAAGGCTACTGCAGGTTGCTCCGGGAAAATGGCATCCTCTCTCCCGTGGTTTGCAGGAAGGGGCTGGCTGGGCCTCTTATGGCAAGCATGGAAGCAGGTTTTCCCCATAGCTAGGAAATCCTAGAGAGCTATCAGAAGAAATCATACGCTGCCATTTCTACAGGATCTCACTGGTCGTACAGATGAGCTCTGCCTTTGGGGGAACCCACAGGCTGGCTTAGTCAGGGTTTCTACTGCTGTGATGAAATACTATGACCAGAAGCAAATTGTGAAGGAAAGGATTTATTTGGCTTACATTTTCATATCACTGTTTATCATTTAAGGACGTCAAAATAGGAACTCAAACAGGGCAGGAACCTGGAGGCCACAGCTGGTGTTGAGGCCGTGGAGTAGTGCTGCTTACTAGCTTACTCCTCGTGTCTTACTCAGCCCACTTTTTTATAAAACCCAGGACCACCAGCCCAGAGATGACCTCACCCACAATGTGCTGGGAGCTGGCGGCTGGCAGCTGGGGACTGGGGGCTGGACCCACCCCACCAGTCTCTAAGAAAATGCCCTACATACTTTTTAGGCAGAATTTCTTTGTGTCTCTGCAGTTGCTCCCAAATAACCACATGGAAAATTCTTATTAATTACAAATGCTTGGCCAATAGCTCAGGCTTGTTACTAGCTAACTCTTACAACTTAAATTTAACCCATTTATATTAATCTACATTCTGCCATGTGGTGTTAACCTCTCTTTCATCTTGTACCTCCTGTTTCCTTTCCATGTCTGGCTGGCAACTTCTCTATCTTCACCCTTCTTCTTCCCAGTGTCTTTAATCTGGTTCCCCCTGTCAGACCTCATCCTGAACAGCTATTGGCCAGTTAGCTTCTTTATTAAACCAATCATAGTGGCATATATTTACACAGTGTAAAGGAATATTACACATTTTCCCCTTTTTGTCTAATTAAAAAGGAAGGTTTTAACTTAAAAAATTGTATATACAACAAAAACAGTTATTAAGTAAGAATTACAATTACAATATCCAGACCCTTTGTATTTGGAAAATTTAGAGAAAATACTCTATTATTTCTTATCTTTGCAAGTCTAAAGTTTTATACCCAATTTACCTTTTATCATAACTAAGGAAAACTTTAACTATGACTATCTAGACTTCAACTTCGTCAAAGACCCCAGAAGGGTGATGTGTTACCTAACAACAGGGACATCTGGTTGTCTGAACAGTCACCCAAAGTTCATTTGTAACATTGGGGCATCCAGCCTTGGTCTATAGGCCTATTATATCTGACAGACATTCTGAGAAACAGGGAATTTTAAAGGACTATCCTACCTTGTTTTGTCTTTTTTGGACAGTATGCTGTCAGTAATTGAGGTGAGGGCAGTTTCTTTACCCAAATAGCTAGTTTTTAATCATAAAAAAGCAAGCTCCATACAAAGGTTCTTTGATGCCCATCATATTCTTTTGTAGTAAATTGGTGCTGTCAGGAGCAGACACATGTCTCACTGTCATGAAATGCCTTAGGTTATTGAACATATCAAATGCCATATTCTGTAGGTTTTTGAAGTGTTTGATATGTGTGTGTGTGTATCCATTTATGACCTTGAAAACATACCTCTAACATGACTGTAAGTTTGACTATTATAGATGACTATTAATCTCTATTTCTTAGTTATACATTTTAAATAACTGCATAAACACAATACCCTAAACAAGAGTAGAAGTTTGCATACAGTATAAAAAAATTAGCTTTAAATTTGTATCAGTAAACCAAAATTCATACCATTGTAAAATATTTTGAGATTAATGATTGATTTTTGTATTAAAGTAGATTCAATCATCTATCCTTTTCCTATCCTGTGTCATATCTCCCTTTTTTTCCTTTAGAAAGAAAATCTTGAATTTAGCTCTTTTGTTTAGCTTTTTTCCTGACTATGACCAATAACAACACATAACTATATAGTAAATGCTGGGTGGTGGTGCATGCCTTTAATCCTAGCACTCAGGAGACAGAGGCAGGCAGATCTCTGAGTTCGAGGCCAGCCTGGTCTATAGAGAGTTCCAGGACAACCAGGGCTACACAGAGGAATCCTGTCTCAACAAACAAAACGATGATGGCAAACATCTGTCACCCATCTTTTAAGGATGTGGGTGTTGTTTTTCTAGACTGTTTCCTGTTATCTGGGGGCTCTGGTGTCTTTGAGGAGCCCTGAGAAAATTTAGGATGATGATTTTTTTTAAAGTCTTGGCTGGAGTAGTTTTGTGAGGCTGGACCATCTCAGCCAGCAGCCTTGGAGCTGTCTTGATGCAGAACTCCAAGGAAACTGCAACAGGTATTTTGAGAGGCTGGATCACCTGAACCATTTGTTTTCTTTGGTGTCTGGTCCCTTGCGCCAAAATACACAAACTTTCAAAGGTAACATGCATGTCTGTGTTAATACAACAAATATATGTTATATGTTGTACACAAGTTAATCAAAGATGATTCTTTGTTTTGTATTTGAGTAAGTAAAATATATGTTACATGTTTTGTAGGGCTTTTTTTTTCTCTCCCTTTTTTTCATTTTTGAAACCAGACTGTTTATTTTATGACAGATTGAAATCCTCAAGATGAACTGGATGCTGCAACAGCTGCCCTCTTGGGTTTAGAGGTTGTCCCTTCACGGAATCCATGTCTGAATATTTGATAGAAAATTTTTAGATGCCTCATCCACCCAGTCCTGGTAGTGTTTTGTCTTTTAGCCTTGGTACTCCAGTTATATTTTCTCTTGTGTTTGGCAGGGTAGCCACATTTGCCACAGGTAGATTTTTGAAGGTGGTAGGGCTTGGAGCCACAGTGGTGGCACAACATGTATGTCTTATTGCGATGCTTTCCAAAGAATGACATTCCTTTTGTTATCCTGCTTCTGCCGCCAAGGCCAAAGAGACCAGAAAAGCTTTCTCTCTCTCCATCTCCCTCTCCCTCTCTCCCTCCCCACCCCTCTCTTTCTCTCTCTCTTAGGTTTATTTCTTTATGTTTAGAGTCAGGATTTTCAGGGGGTCTTCCTCAAAACAAGTCTGATCCATATAAATCTGTAGTGAATCTACAGCTTCTCATTTCCTGTGAAAATAAAAGCATAACCTCTCCCAAAGTAACACACCTTTTGAATTCCATTTTGAAGTCAAGATATTATAAAAATATGTAAGTTGATTTAATCTGGCAGTTTCCATAATCCAGTGTTTCTTAGCAGTTACTGCTCATTGATCAGCAGTCACAATATTTAAGGACAGCATAATATATATGGGATCTAGAATCCCATGATTTCCCATCTTTACATGGATTTTTCTTTTATATTACTTTGTTCTCTTTGTAAGTATTCTAAACTTAAAACTATACATTTTTTTGTGACTCTATACTCTTTTTCTTTTCTCTCCCACATCTTTGTACATTTTTAAACACACTGTAACCCATTTGGAGGCCTTTTCCGTCTGAATCTGTCTTTACTGAGCATCTGTATTGTTTTTGATCTCATGAGACAAATCTTAAACTGCTATAGTTGTTGCCTGCCTGGCTCAGCTTAGCGCATGGTGTGTTGGTGTTGGCTCTTCCCCACTTTGGCTCCCTAAGAGCTTAGCTTCATAGTGGAGGTACCAGCAGGAGCCACATTTACCACCCCAGCTCTGAGAAGTTGTTGGGTCCATGCTGCTACAAAGTAGCATGCTGCCCACTGCTCATTAACCCCATTTAAGTGTTTAATAACAGGGTCTCTTAAAGGAGCCATGCCTCTGTTTGCTAGTAGCAACCAGAGCCTACTCAAGAAGAGGCAGCTACCAGGAAGCTGCGTTTGACTCGGTTTTTTGTTTGTTTGTTTGTTTGTTTTTCAGATTTTATGTGGATCTACATTGCCAGGCATTTGGGCCCCATTTGTAGGCAGTTTCTCTGTGTCTCGGCAGTCACCCCCAAATAACCACACAGACACTTGTTATTATTACAAATGCTCCACCAGCAGCTAATGCTTGTTATAGCTAGCTCTTACAACTTAAAGTAACCCTTTACATTAGTCTACATTCTGCAACGAGGTGTTACCGCTCTTTCATCTTGTACCCCCGTTTCCTCTTCGTGTCTGGCTGGCAACTCCTTTCTCTTCACCCTTCTTCTTCCCAGTGTCCTCAGTCTGGTTCTCCCACCAGACCTCATCCTGTCCAGCTGTCAGCCTCATTTATAATTAATATTTAGTTTCTGAGTGATTTTTTTGGAAAGAGTTGACATAACAGCTAATTACGGTCCTGATGAAAAACTCCATTTACAAATGGTGCCCGCCGCCCTTCTTCTTCCCAGTGTCCTTAGTCTGGTTCTCTTGCCTAACCTCATCTGTCCATCTATTGGCCAGTTGTAACATGAATAATAAAAGATGTAATCTCAGAGGCAGATATTGGGGTTAAAGCTGAAGATCAGAGAATCAAAGTGGCCAGCCACTGGAGAGTTCTCACCTCTACCAATGCTCAGACCAAAGGGGCGATCCTGTCCTCAGTTTGCACTGTTCCTTGGGCTGCATCCTCAGACTCACTGAGCTCCTCCTAGCCCTAGCCGTGGGGTTACAGGTGTGAGCTCTGTTTCTCTTAGACAGATTCTACCTCACACAGCCCAGAGTGGCCTTGAGTCCTGGGATTAAAGGTGTGTGCTATCACTCCCTGACCTCTAGAGGCTTAGCTTTACACTCTGATCTTCAGGCAAACTTTATTTATCAAGACACAAATAAAATATCACTATAGCCAGTCAGCTTCTTTATTATACCAATCACAGTGACATATATTCACATAATGTAAAGGAATATTCCACATGCCTGATCTGGAGGCATTTTCTTTAGTCAAGCCTGGGCATGAAGAGCTCTGTCCCTGATGCGTAGGTGTGGTTCCCTACTCTAGAGATCCAAGAACTAAGACAGGTTGTCTCCTGCCCACCACACCCCAGTATCTTGTAGGTAACTGAGGGAAAACCGGAAACAGGCAGGCAGTTCTGACCCACAGCAGCCCTGGGCAGCCCTTGCTGCCATTTCCTTTGGAGTATTCCAAGCCTCAAATGACTCTTACCCACCCTCAGAGTCACCCACCTGCTGTGACAGGCAGCCAGGTGTTAAGAGCAACTTAAATTGCAGTGCTTACTGTAATTCCTGCTTTTTATTTTCTATTACCTCTGAGCTTTTCAGTCTCAGCTAGCAATATTTCTGACAATATAGTTTTCTTAAAATCCTTATAGTTTCTGAGTCTTGTTGGGGTTCATTCCATCATACAAAAAACACACCCCAAATCCTCTTTCAGATAAGCCTTTCTGTAATGTTGGGCTTCTTTTGGAGCCCTTAGGGTTCTTGGGAGTCTTTCAACTGATCAGAATCGCTGAAGCTGGCCTGCAACTACCAGGAGAACCCCTCTCAGAGTATCATGTCAAGTCTTCAGGAGCCTGGGTTTTCTTTTCATTTTAGGGGGTCTTTTATTTTGATTTTATTTGTTTGTTAGCTTCTTTGTTTTTTTGAGGGTTTCTCTGTGTAACCCTAACTGTCCCAAGAATTTGCTCTGTAGACCAGACTGGTCTTGAACTCAGAGATCTGCCTGCCTCTGCCTCCCAAGTGCTGGGGTTAAAAGTATGCGCCACCACACTGGAAACTGTTTTCTAATCCTGAAATGCTAAGGGCTTCCTGAACCAGCAGATACTGACCATGGTACACAGAACTGATTTTTCTTTCCTTTCCCTTCTTCTTCCTTCCAACAAGAAGGCAGGCAGCATCCTCAGCCTTCTACCTGAAAATACCGGAATGTCACACTTGATGTCTACCTGAAAATACCGGAATGTTACACTTCATGTCTACCTGAAAATACCGGAATGTCACACTTCATGTCCCCAGTCCAGTGCTGCAAAACTTGCTGCTTCCTAGCAGGATACAGTTAAATCCCAACCCCTCCAGCCCCCTGTAGCAGTTCCTCTCTCTCCATTAAGCTTCCAGCAGTTTCCCCTGGGTTATGGGACTTCTGCTCAGGATCCTAGATCACATTAGGCAGTCACTGTACTCTGCTTGGCCTATCTGTTGCTGGCCCCAATACTAGGCCATCCCTACATATTCAAAGTTTTTTTTAACGTCTCACCCTCTCTCTAAGGCTTCAAAGTCTGTGTTATCGGTGTATTGCTGTGAGACAAATCACTCTAAAGCTTAGTCTTAAACAGTAATGACCCCTTCATTGTGTCAGAATTGTGAGGGTGAGGCATCTGCCATGGCTCAGCTGTGGTTTCAGTGGAGGGCATCCTCATCCAAGGAGCTCAGTCACATGACAACGGGCCTCTGCTGTTAGCCAGCATCTCTTCAGAGGAGGCTGATGGAGCATTCTGACATGGTCAGTTTGCTCCGATATAAGTTACCTGCAGGGGTAAGGGAACAAACAGCTGCTGTCCTTTCCGTGAGGCCTCAGTGGCCCCTAGCTTCCCCTCTGTACCAGCTCAACACCTAGGACAGTAGTTAGAGAGGGAGAGGTGTGCCCAAGGGTATGCCTAGCGAGGGCCACATCTTGACTTCCTGCCTCAGTCATTTAGCCTATCAGGCTTCAAGACAATACCAGCAGTACTGCCCTCGAAGTACCTACCATGTGAGGCTTTCCTGAGCCAGGGCTTGTCTCTAACTGCTGCTGTTATCTGCGGTCTTCCTCAGGTTGCCAGGAGATCGCCGAGGAGTTCCGTGCCCAGGAGATTGATGGGCAAGCCCTGCTGCTGCTCAAGGAGGACCACCTGATGAGTGCCATGAACATCAAGCTGGGGCCTGCCCTGAAGATCTATGCACGCATCAGCATGCTCAAGGACTCCTAGAGCCTCTGCCGCCTGCCCGCTGCCCCAGGGCAGCCAGGGTTCCTGCCCCAGGTGGGCACCACCTCCTCATGAGCAGAGCCACACAGACATTCCTGAGGAGCCCGAGATATGGCCAGTTGGAGGGAAGGGGCTCTCACTAGGGGTGCAGCTGTGAGGAGGTCTGAGTGCCTCTTCCGTGGCTCTCAGGGGCCATTTCTGTGGGAAGGATAGAGAGGTGGGTGGCACAGAAGATGGGGCTTTGCGCTTGTAAATACTGATAGCACTGGCTTCCTCCAAAGTCCCAATGTTCTAGCCCCCCTCTCATCCTTTCTCTGTCCCCCATTTTCCAGGGGGTTTATGGTCAGGGCTCCCCAACCTGAGTTGGGTGACTTCCAAGGGCAGCCAGCAGGCCTGGACAGAGGTCTTAAAGCCTTTGCCTTCTCTCCCCTTCCTCTTCTTATCCAGGCCTGGTTAACCTTCCGTTGTCAGCTTCTCCCCCTTCAGCCTGTTTCCACAGCATCCAGGGGTTCTGCCCCTGTACCCTCTGCAGGTGGAGAGAGAGAAGCTGGGCCCAGTTTGGCCATGCCTGCTGGCACAGACGCCTTAACGCTGTGTGTATGACTGTGTGACTGGGAGCCTGGACTGACAGGCCATGAGCTGCCCTCTGGCATCTCCAGGTGTTTTGTAGCAAACAGCCACTTAGTGCTTTGTCCTGGACTCCACTCAGCCTGAGGCTGGGGAATAGAAAGAAAGGGCAGACCCCAAGAGTTGGAGATTAGAGGTCCCCTCCAGGTGGCAAGAGGTTTCTGGGAAGCTCTCCTCATACCAGATTGGTAGTGTGTCCTGCTGGCTGGCAAGCAACATAAGGAAGCTACAGGATCTAAACTATATGGCCCAAAGGCCAAGCCTCCTGTGACTTCACCTGCCTGCCCACCCTTACACCCCCACATGGGAGGGGGGGTGTAACTAAAGACTGGCTGAAGGCACTGTGGAAGCAGCCTTTGGCCTTCCACTCCCACACTTGCTTGTAAAACTTGTATAGCAGTAACAGCTACCTAAGGAAGGACCAGGCGCCTCTGACTTATCCTGTCCTTACCAACTCTGGGAAGTCAGACCCTTCCCGGGAGGGGCGGGCACTTTCTCAGCTTGCCCTGCCCCCTTCCCCATACCCCCAGGCAGGGTTGGAAATGAAGGACTTTTTTAACCTTTTGTTTTGTTTTTAAAAAATAAATCTGTAAAATGTGCCTCTTCTGTGGCTTTCTCCCAGGGATGCCTGTGTGCCTGAGTTTTTGTTCGTGGGTGAGAAAAAGAATGGGACTGGGTTGGGAAGGATGGCTGCCTTAACCGAGCAGTGTGTCCATGCCACCTGACTAGGACTGGATCATTTCATTGCCTTCACCCCAAATCAACACCCCTCAAAGTGAAAATGCTGGGCCCCTTCATCTCTGAGCCTTCCTACCTGCTTTTCCCACCAAGGTCAAGCGAAAGGCTAATAACATTATCAGTAACGCTTGAGCCAGAACCCAGACTCTGCTACCCCCAGCAAGTCTGCTGGAGCTGCGCAACACAGAGAAGACACAGCTGTAGCTCACTCAGCCCTCGCCAGGCATCGCGTGCTAGTCATACAGTAGAGGAACAGGTGGGGAAGGGACGTGCAAGCCTTTTAAAGAGGAAAGAGAGCGGGTGATATCTGATAATAAAATGATAGTGGTAATACGTGCAGGGACAGAAGTGATGGAAACTGGCCAGACTGAGGGAAGGCAGCCAGGTGGTAGCTGGGGTTGGCTCTGTGCCTCTGGGGGTATCTGTTAAAATGTGATTACCCCCTAGAAGAGACACTGGTTAATCCTCCAGGGAGACCAAGACCTGGAAAGCCTGGTGTCCCAGAATTGGGAAAGCGAGGAAGCTTGTGGGAGAAGTAGCGTGAGTGGAGTGAGCACAGGGAAGCCCCCTAGTCAAGAGAGCCTTGTACTGCAGGCCGTGTACAAAAGCCTGCGTGGCCAGTCTTGCCACTTGGACCTCTGTTTTCCTTGTTGGGGAAAAATAAAAACATCAGGTCCCACTCATGTTTGCTTGTAAGTATGTGATGGATAGGAAGCCAAGGCTACTCAGAGAAATTGGTGAGTTTAAGTCAGCTGAGTTGTCCATCACTTCAGGTGAAAGGACCTGGTATATCTCATGGTTGGCTTTTATATTTTGAGACAAGGTTTCATATAGTCACCGCCTCCTGAGTGCTAGAGGGGTGAGCAGCACTCCTGGCCGCTACTGTAAATTTGAAGGCTACATTGTTAAATTTTTATTTGTTCCTGGTATTGACACTACATAGACTTTCACAACTGTTTGGTCATGACCCACAGTTTAAAAAACTTTTTCTGCCAGACATGATGGTGCTTGTCTTTAATCCCAGCACTCAATGGCAGAAGCAGGTGGATCTCTGAGTGAAAGGCCAGCCTGGTCTACAGAGCAAGTTCCCGGACAACCAGGACTACTCTGAGAAACCCTGACTTGCAAAATTAATACTGCCCGTGTAAGCTACACAGCCATGATTTGATGTGGCTCTTAACCTGGGGACAGGCATGAGCACCCTTGTTACTGGAGAAGCAAAGGGCTCCACACGGAGTGAAGTTGCCCAGAGTCACAGTGCCCAGTGCTTTTTGACGTAAACTGGTGGTGAGTGCTGCACACAGCTTTCCCTGGGTGGGAATGCAATATCCTGTGTCACAGATGCTGCAAATCTGTTACAGCCCTGACTCTAGCCCCTCCCGGAAACAAGACCCTTAGGTCTTGGGTCTTCTGTGGGTCAGTCTGGCCTCCACTCCACTCCTAAATGATTGGCCCCAAGGGACTTGCCAGCCCCACCCCACCCTAGGAGGTGGTAAACCTCACCTCCAGGTTAATGGATTTATTGGCGTTACAACCCAGATTGCTTCTGTCATGTGGCTTAGGAGGCAGAGGGAATTGCTTTGTCCCCATACCTTGTCTGTCACTTCTACTGCGTATGTCATTTCTTCAACCTCTCTTGGATGAAGAGATTTCATGACAACTGGTTCCTCCCAATGGCTCTCAAGGGACTCAAGTGAGTAGGTTCAGTGCCTGCTGGGTATTGGTACAGGCTGATTCACCCGAGAGGGGCCCAGTCGGTAGAATTGCTGAGGGAAAACGTGACTCCAAGAACAAGAGGTGACCTGGTGATGGTAGAGGCAGTGGCACACGCCTTTAATCCCAGCACTCGGGGAGGCAGAGGCAAGTGGATCTCAGTGAGTTCAAGGCCAGCTTGGTCTATGTAGCAAGTTACAGGATAGCCTATTCTACACACAGAGAAACCCTGTCTGGAAGTTTAAAAAAAAAAAAGGGTGGGGGGGGGGAAGAGGGAGGAAGGAGAGGGAAGCTAAGGAGAGCGCTTCTTTCTTTGTCCCCAGGGTGAGGCAGAAATCCAGGGCCTAAGGCTACACTCCCTCCCCCCATCAGAAAGCAGGGAAAGGGACAGAGGAATGGAGCTTAAGGAGCTACTGAGCTGTGTTCTCAATGAGCTGGAGCCCACAAGTCCTTCAGCAAAGTCTTGACTGTGATATCAGGTCACGCAGACACTTCGAGAGTAAAGCTCGAAACTGGTGCCCAAGAGGGGAAGAATGGTAGATCTCCACAGGCATCCCACCCCAGCCTGGGTCCCAGCACCCTCCCTCACCTAGTCCTTTGGGCCACTCAGGCCAGCTCTGCCTGGATGCCCACACTAAGGCCTGGTGCCCTGGAGCCATAATCATTGGCTCCCCCACTCTGGTGTGTAAGAGGACGAGGTGACTGGCATTCGCTGGGGACACTGAAGTCCATGCCAGCCTTTCCTTCTGCTGCAAGGCTGCCAGCATTCCGAGGGGACTGCGGACAAAGTGGGAAGGGGCAGGCTTCTCAGGAACCACGCTAGCTGGAGACATGGCACTCAGGATCCAAGGACCTTTGTGAGAGGAGCTTGGGTCACACTGAGTCCGTCAAGGCTCAGCCCCAGCACCTACAGCCACTTCCTGAGCGAATAGTTTTCACCCGAGACCCAGTTGTCTCCTCACTGATGGAATGGGGGCATGGAGACCCAGTTATCTCCTCACTGATGGAATGGGGGCATCCAGATTCCTCTCCGGGCACGGTGGTCAGACTTCACCGAGACCTGGGAATGTTCTCTGCAGAGTGTCCAGCCCCATCAGTGCCCAGGATGAGGAATAAGCAGAGACTTGACTTCTGGAGAAAATGGAGTTTTAGGCGAAGGAGTAACGAGTTGGGAAAAGAACGTGACGTTAAAGCCACAATTCATTACTTCATTCACTTCTAACAAATGCTTGCTAATGTCGCCAATTATGAGGCAGGTTCTGGAACTTGGTGCCAAGACTCTAAAGCCTACTGGGGCAGTAAAGAGTTCCTAGAGCAGACAGGGTTAGGCAAGGGCTAAAGGGGAAGTTTGGTGAAGGTAGAGGTGTAGGAAGGGGGACCAGATGTCAAGGAACTGGAAGACTAGTGAGTGACAGGAGGGAAAGGTGTTATGGCAAAGATTGTCCCTGGGGTGACAATCCCAGAGAGTCATGGGAAACCCAGGAAGCTTCATAGGGGGCTGAAGGTTGGCACCCAGTAGCCTGACTGGGAAGTTTCCCCACAAATCCAGATGTAAATCAGTGAGATGGAGAGGATGGAGCAGGCAGGTGGGAGGGGAGCTTCTGCTTGGAAACAGGAGGCAGACAGCCATTGTAAAGGGAGACCGGTTCTGGGGCCAGAGCAAGCAGGAAAGAAGGGATGGGGTGGGCCCGAACACGCAAACTGCAGATTGAGATGCTGTGAGCTTGCTTGAAGTGTGTGTGGGGACCTCTGGGCAGACAGCAGTCTAGGGGGGATACAAGATAGCTGTGGCCATTGCCCAGCCAGAGGGCTGGCAATACAGTGTGGTACATCTCGGAAGTCATACACTGATCAACAGTGGTGGGGCCTTATTGTGCAGGGATGGACCCAATTGAAGGGCACTGAGTCGAAAACAATCTTAAAAGGCCCCACCTCTCTTCCTGGAACTTCTCAACCACCATTACCAATCTGGAGCGTCCCCCTAAATCCACCTGTATAATCTGTATATAGCAGCCAGCAGCTGAGCTCCCACAGCGTGCTGTATTAAGTTGAATAGAAATTAGATTTAGTGCTTAGACTTTGGCAAAACAGGCAAGGAAATATGTCAGTTTTCATACTGGTTACACATTAAAAGAACATTTTGGGTAGGTTGGCATAAATCAAAGTAATTGGTAAAAATTAATTTCATCTTCACCTTTTTAATGTGGCCACTAGGAAATGTAAAGTCTGCATGCATCACATGTGTCCTAGGGAGTTTTGCTTTCCTAGCATTCTCCAGTAAACACGAATACAGCTCTTGGGGGGGGGGGGGAGCACACCTGTAGGAACACAACACACTAGGGGAGAGGCTCCGCCCACAGACGTGAGACCTTCCTCTCCACAGAGGTCTGGTCTGGTCTCTGTTCCAATGTGCATGCACCCATTAACACTTCTCACTGGCCACACTGACCTCCGCTGTTAGACACACACAGTGCTGTCACTCAGACCCTGCCGGGCTTGCGTATATCCATATCTTTTTCCTACCGCTTCCTATTAGCTAGTTTTTTAGTTTGTTTGTTTGTATGTCTGTTTGTTTTTTGCGAGCATACAAAAACATCAGGTTCCACTACGGTGCTCTCAGACAGACCTGTCATCAAAATTCACTCATTTTTGTCTTCTTTCTTCTTCTTAGTCCCCTCCTCCCTACAAAGTCATATTTCCTTTTTCTTTTTTTATTATGTGTGTGCATGTGTGTGCGCACGTGCATGTGCGCATGAGCGTGCTACAGTGCATACGTGGAGGTCAGGACAACCTGTAGGAGGAGTCAGTCCCCTCTCATTCCCTTCGACACGGCAGCAAGCACCACCACCATTCCACCCGGCATGTGCTTTTTCGAGTCCTGCTCGAACATTCTTGGGCTGTCTGCTGTGTAGACTGGAGCCCCCGTGACAGGAAGGGGTGACACCGTTGTGCACCACAGTGCACAGGCCATGATTCGAAGGCTCCTTCAGCTCTGCGAGAAGATGTGGACTTTATCTTGCAGTTAGCGGGAGCTATTCTCTATTCCTTCATTTAAAAAATCAATGCAGTTTATGAAGACCTGAATTTGATCTCAGAACCCACTTAAAAAAAAAAAAAAGGCCGGTGTTAGCCAGGTGTGGTGGCAGTTGTCTGTCAACTGCAAATCTTTGTATCTTCAGCATTCATCTGTCTATTCTTTATAGCCCAGCTTTAGGAAAATTGCCCATACTCCTCCACGCCCTTTTATTTATACAAGCTCCCCCTTAACATCGGCTTCCACCCCTCACCGGACACAGACATACCCAGCACCTGGCCTGACCTCTACCATCTCCGTGCTCTCTCCCATGACATGCCTGCTCTTCTGGTGAACCCCAGAACCCTCTGGTGAGTTCTAGGCCTTACCTCTCAACCAGATACACTTTGACCCTTGGATCCAGATCCAGATGTCTCTGCCATCGATGGCCACACTCTGCCCATCCTTTTCCAACCCCTCACTACTTTTCCCCACTCAGCAGCAATGCTCAGCCTCACACCCCAATAACTCCTGGGCCCTAACTGGGTTTCCTGTCTATAGTCATGCCTGCCACCCAGTCACCTTGTCGAGAACCAGAGTTCAGTCTAAGTATGAAGTTGCGCCAATACCACCCACTCACCCCCATGCAAAACCTTTCTTTAATGGGAGTCCCCTGGGTGCACCGGTGTTTTCCAGGAGGCTGCCTTTCCCCACATCCCTGTCGAAATAGCTTGTAGTTTTCTGAAGCCAGGTTTACAAATCCAGGTCCAGTCCTCCAGGAAGTCCTGGAAAGCCCCCTGGCTTCCTGCTTCCCCTTCCAGGCTGCTGTCCTTCCCAGGATTCACTGCGCAGGGCTCTGTCCTCACTCCACATTCCTCAGTGTGACCACATACATCATCCCCACTCCCCATCCTGAAGACAGGGCCTTTCCTACCGGCTCACCCACCTTGACATCTTGGACCTAGCAGAAAGCTTGGCCACACTGTGACCAATGATGCCAAGATAATAGCCAAGCAGACACTGACCAACAGCTTGACCTGGGGCTGGCAACCCACAGGGGCAAGGACGGAAAGCTAAGTAGCTGCCCAAAAGGCCAAGACTCCACCAGCAGGCCAGGAGCCCCCTTTCCCACTCTGTATGCTGGCAGCCTGGCGTCATAGCTTTCCTTGAGCTTGCCTGCTTTTTGTTTTGTTTTTGTGATCATTTTATAAACAAAACCTAAAACCTGTCCTGGGTTCTAATTTGTATGTCTTTGCCTACTAGTAAAGGTGAATGTTTTTCCATGTATTTGCCTACTAAATGTGTTTTTCTCCCTTTGAGGATTTAGCTGCTGGTTTGACAAACACTGTTGAGGGAAGTTGGTCTTTTAGGAGATGGCTCTAGGGGCGGAATGGGGATTGAGCTGGCTGAGGTCACATGGAGGCTACAGAAAACAGGAAGGACAGAGACAAAGAGGCCAAGGGACGCCAATCTGGGCGCTACCAAGGTAGGTGAGCGTGGAGGAGGGAGGGGTGAGGCTGCATGCAGGTCTCTGGCTTAAGTCACCCTGTGGGTACCCACATCTGCATAAGGCGGGCTCTTTGAGTAAACCCTAGGCTCAAAAGGTATGGAGCCAGTCCAAGAGTTAAGGGAATCTGATATGGAAGTGGCCTTCCTGAAAGAGACCTTAGGAAGCCGTGGGGAGTTACAGGGCAGGCGGAGAGGGAGAGAGACTGTCAGAAGGAAGAGGCCATAGCAGGAAGTGGCCTATCACTGAGTGCCCTTAGCAGCTGAAGTTCTATGAGTTCCGGTCATCTAGCTGATATTGACTCCAAATTCAGGTTCGGTCTCCGAGGGTGCTATTCCCGTTATTCCATCTCACTGATGAAGACTGATGCCCAGAGGGCCAGCGTGCTAATAAAAGGTGTCCCCAGAGTGCTCTCCATATCTGTTCTTCACTATGGGGCTCTCACAGAAGACAGCTAACTAAGGCCACCCTCTCCAAGCCAGGACCTTAGAGGTCAGTGAAGGAGTAGCAGTCCTAGGAGAACAGGCCACCACCGCCATGCTCCCCACTCCAGCCACCAAACCACAAATCCTTTCTCCTCTTGGGCTCTCCCCCCTCCCCAGCCCCACACAAGATCGGCCTCACCCCAGCTCAGTAAGCACAGCAAACCTGAATGCTCCTATCCTCCAAGCCCATCCGACTCATACCCTGCCACACTGCTGTTCAAAGCAACGGTCCAGACTCATTACTCCTTAGATCCTGGGGCAACTGGGGAAGGGGTGTTTAAAGAGCTTCTTTAAGTACTGAGATGGTGGGCAGGGGCGTGTGGCTCAGTGGTTGTATGCTGCCTAATGTGTGAGGCCCTGGGTTTGATCCCCAGCATGGTAAGTCTTTAAACTCCGAGGTATAATATGTGTTGTATATTATCGGAAAAATACCATAGTCAGCAAAACCTGCAGGGTGTAGGACAGATTGTCCCCTGTGCTGCCATCTGTGGGGACATCAGAGGAAGAAGGGGCTCTTGCTACAATGCCTGTGTGGGCCTCCTCTCACAGACCATCCCTGGAAGGATGCGGGAGACACTGATGCCGTTGGTCACCTCCACGCAGAACTGCAGAAGGGTTTGTGCCAGGCAGTCCCCTGAATCCTTCCTGAATGTCTGTGCTGTGTGACTAGAATAATAATAGGTTCCTACTCAGAAACCAAATGAAGCAGGGAAATCAGGCAATGGTTTTTCCGGTGGAAGGATGTCACTGAAGTCCTCCCCCTACTCCTCTCACCCTAGGGCCAAGAAGAGACTCCTGTGGCAGCTCCTCCTGACTGCATTTGGCTTCTTAGGCCTGTACCTATACAGGCTCGGTAGTCTCAGGTACTCCCCCGAGGCCAGGGTTAAAATGATCTTTCCAAGGGCCTCCTGGAGGGAAGGAAGGTGGTAGCTGGCTTAGCCTACGCAAATTTCCTATGGACTCTCCTACCAAACAAAGAACATGCCAAATGTCCTCTCCTGTTTACTGCGCCTACAGGTCCTTAGAAGTCTTCATCCCCATGGGCATCTGCCCTAGGGCCACAATGCCTCTGCTGAGGGACAACTTCACAGGTGTCCTGCGACACTGGTAAGCCGTCACCATTCTCCCACCAAGAATGTCCGCAAGCTACATAGGTCTGCCCCAGGTCTCCACTCTCTTCTCACCCACACCCAGGCGTTCCGTCTTTGGGAAGCCAGGGGTGGTGCCACCAGGTCAGACATCACCCAGTCTGTGTTTGGTTGGTTCTAAACTAGGGTTTCGTAGGGGACAGGTCTGTGGGTCCCGAGTGGCCAGCAATGGGCAAATGGCAACGAGCAGGGATCAAGCATTGAGCAGAACTGTCTTTCCTAACTCCTCCTGCTCGTGACCAGGGCCCGGCCTGAAGTCCTGACCTGTACCTCTTGGGCAGCACCGATCATTTGGGATGGTACCTTCGACCCACAGGTAGCCGAGCAAGAGGCAAGACAGCAGAACCTCACCATTGGACTGACTGTCTTTGCTGTAGGCAGGTAAGACACAGGGAGGGGACCGTCCTTCTAGGTGGTGAACAGGAGGATGTGTCCACAGACAGGTAGCCATAGAAACTCCTACTGCAGATACAGGCTCCATCCAATGTTTCGCATTCTTGGGGGCTCAGAACTACTTCTAAAAAGGAACAAGCCTGGGGTGGGGTAGGTCTGGCACAGATGGAGACACTGGCTTTGTAGTGAGGGCATAAAAGACCTTTATAGGCTAACGAGGAGAAGGGGAGCTAGCACCTGGCTAAAGGAAGGTTCTCGGTGTAGGTGACACAGCATGGGTGTACTGGGGCTTTGCCAGGGAAGTCTGATGAAGGGAGAAGGGTGTGGAGCTCAGGAATTTACAACGGAATGACTCCAGGCTAAGTAAAGAAAGCCACGAGGGTGGAAGGAGCTGGAGAGTGGCAGACAGACAGACAGACGGATAATTGCGGTAATTGCCGGGTCACAGAGCTGAGTGAGGTAGGCCCTTTGGATGAGCAGGGCAAGCGAGCTGAATGAAGGGTCTCACATCGTGACACAGGGATGTTTTGGAAGCAAGACAACGGTGGTGACCTTGTCAAGGGAGTAGCCCCAGAAGCAGGTAACTGAGGAGGCCAAGATCTTCACAGGTGAGGCTGACAAAGGGTGGGCCTCAGGTAGAGAGGAGCTAGGCAGGCGAAAGAGACAAAAGGCAGGGCCCTGCCCTCCCATCCAAAGGGATGCAAAGGGGATTCCTGGCTGGATATAGGGTCAGACCTACAACCCCAAGCCACAGAGCAGTGGAGTGCAAGACAGGCTGGGCAGTGGGTGAGCCTCCTGTGACATAAGATGAGAATGCCCAGGAAGAAAAACCCAAAAACCCAGGCAAAAAACTGTTCAGGGTTTCTCCAACTGTGTCTCAAACCCAACATAAAGGGGAGAAAGTCAACAGAGTCATCGCAACACACGGATCCAGAGGGCTGGCGCAAGCACAAAGGGGACAGAGCTGCTCACTTAGTATCTTTGTTCAAGTGACTACAGGTCTTTAAAGAACAGCACGTGGGCTTAGCAGTGTGTGCCCCGTGGCAAATGCTCAGACCATTAGCCTTGTTCCTTCAAACTCCTGGTTGTTGTCTTGGGTTACCAGGGATGCAAACTGTCAGTATTTCTGAGCACTCTGCTTGTCCATGTGAAGAATGGCCACAAACATTGTGGCTTAAATTAAATTGCTATAGTCAAGAATTCAGGACCTCCCAGGAAGGGCTCTTCCCTGCCAGGTGTATGAGTCTCAACAGGGAGACCAACAGCTAGAGACACAGCAACGCCCCTCACTCCAAATAAGCTCCCTCCATGGCTTTATATTAATTTACTTTCCTATTGCTGTGATAAACATCAAGGTTAAAAACAACTTGGGGAGGAAAAGGTTTATTTCATCTTACTACAGTCCTAGGTAGCCCACCAAGAAAAAAAAAAAAAACTCAGGGGAACCAGGAGGCAGGAACTGAAGCAGAAACCATGGAGGAAGGCTGCTTACTTGCTTGCTCCCCACGGACTTGCTCAGCCTGCTTTCTTACACACCCCAGGCCCATCCTCCCAAGGGTGGACCCACCCATAGTCGGCTAGGCCCTCCCACATCACTGCCTACAGACCAATCTGATGGTGGCCTTTTCTCAATTGACGTTTCCCCTTCCCAGATACCCCCAACTTGTGACAAGTTGGCAAAAATAAACCTAAGCAGCCCAGGCTTCCCTTCATCATAGCCGCATCTGGTCCCGGCTCAGAGTACTGCAAGCACCTCCTGTCCTCCAAGGGTGGGCCAGTCTCCTCTTGGCTCAGAGGAGTCAGGCAGAGGCCATAGTTTAAGGGAACAGGACAGGGCGACGCATCTCTTCCAGGCGGAAGTGGTAGACAGCTTTCAGTACCCTTTAGTTCACCATCTCAAGGCTGGAGATTTGGGATTGCAGGGCCGGGTGTGGGCACGGCGGGACTGACCCTGGCCTGACCGCCTGGCAGGTACCTGGAGAAGTACCTGGAACACTTCCTGCACTCTGCAGAGCAGCACTTCATGGTGGGTCAGAGCGTGGTGTACTACGTGTTCACTGACCGCCCGGAAGCGGTGCCCTACGTGACGCTGGGCCAGGGTCGCCTGCTGCGGGTGGAACGAGTGCAGCGAGAGAACCGCTGGCAGGAGGTGTCCATGGCGCGCATGCGCACGCTACACGAGGCGCTGGGAGGGCAGCTGGGGCAAGAGGCTGACTATGTTTTCTGCCTGGACGTTGACCAGCACTTCACCAGTAACTTCGGGCCCGAGACACTGGCCGATCTGGTGGCGCAGCTGCACGCCTGGCACTACCACTGGCCGCGGTGGCTGCTGCCCTATGAGCGGGACAAGCGATCCGCTGCTGCCCTGTTGTTTGGCGAGGGCGACTTCTACTACCACGCGGCCTTGTTCGGGGGCAGTGTGGCGGCACTGCGCAAGCTGACGGCTCACTGTGCGCTTGGCCAGCAGCTGGACCGTGAGCGTGGCATCGAGGCGATCTGGCACGACGAGAGCCACCTCAACAAGTTCTTCTGGCTGAACAAGCCCACCAAGGTGCTGTCGCCTGAGTTCTGCTGGGATCTGCAAATTGGCTGGAGGACAGAGATCCACACCCCTCGCCTGCTCTGGGAGCCCAAGGAGTATGCACTGGTGCGAAACTAGCGCGTTCCCCTGGCAGGCCAGGTGCGGCAGCATCTTTCAAGACCATGACGCCAGTTAGAGCTGGTTATAGTGCCTCTGGAAGGGGGACTTTGGAACTCAGAGGTCTTGAAAAGAGGTGCCTGTTCCTGGGGCCAAGAGACCTTGTTACCAACAGCTGGCCGACTGGCGACTCCCTATGCTCTAACCAGATACAAATTACGGAAAAGCGAGAGGAAGCTCTTCCCCCCAGAATCTACTTTGGCAGCTCTTATATCCCAGGTGTTTGTCAGCAGCAGCCACAGCAATAAGGAGGCAGAGGCGAGTGGCGCTTCCTAGTGTTAAACCTTTTACCTAGGACCGGGCGGCAGCAGTGCACTTTTAATTCCAGTGGTGTGGGATTCCCCTCTGTATGCTATGAATATGTTTTATTAGCATTGGTTAATAAAGAAGCTGTTTTGGCCTATGGCAGGGTAGAACTAAACTGAATTCAGGGAGAAAGAAGGCGGAGTCAGGCAGATGCCGTGGTAGCCGCCCAAGAAGCAAGATATGAGGTAACAAACCAGGAGTCTGGCGGTAAGATATACAATAATAGAAATGGGTTAATTTGAGATGTAAGAGCTAGCTAGGAAGACACCTGAGCCCTTGGTCAAACGGTGTTGTAATTAATATAGTTTTTGTGTAATTATCCAGGCCTGGGTGGCCAGGACACGGAAGTGCAATCTCCATTTACATCCCAGCAGCTGGAAGGAAGAGGCAGGTGGACCTCAGTGAGTTCAAGGCCAGCCTGGTCTACAAAGCAAGTTCCAGGACTACTATACAGAGAAACCTGTCTCAAAAAAGCAAGCAAGCAAACAAACAAACAAAAACACCTTTTTCCCTAGGCCTTGGGGTCAAGGCCTGTCTCAGTTATAGCCTCTCAGTGGGATTAGGTATCAGGGTCCCCAGACCTTGCCAGTGACTTGTGTGTCAGCCACTGAGCCCTCACTATCTGAGGCTTGACCGCTATCTAGAGCCATTCCTGTGACCAGAGCCTGCCGTGTCTCCTCTCTTGGGCCTCAGCTCTTCATCCTCTCGGCCTCTGCTATCCCTCTTCTTCAGCTGCCTCTTCCTTCACCGTAAAGCAGGCTGCTGGCTTCTGCTTCTGCAGCTGGCCTGGCTGGCCCAGTGAGCACTTCCCCTTCAACTCCCGAGCAGTTGGCTGCCTTGTCACTGGTGTCGCTTGGCCTGCTGATCCCTCGGCCAACTCCTGCTACCTCTTCCTTTGCCACTGCTAAGCTGTCCCTATGCTAACGTGTTCTTCGTGTTACGAGATCAGCCCTCACCCTTAAACGCTGGCAAGACCATTCAAGAGAAGCCTTTTATAGACAGTGCAATGTCAGGGAAGTAGCAGGGGAGAGCCTGATCCGTCTTCCCTACCCCCACCCCTACTGGCTCACCAAGAGCCGCTGAACATCTAATTCTATAGCCATAAAACCCAGTCTTACTTCTCCACGATACTCACAGCCCCTTCTGTTAGACCTCCTCTCTGCGTGGTTCCGGAGTCTTCTAGAGTTCACAAAGGCTTTGATAGCAAAAAGTCTGTTTCAGATAACTATGGTAAAGGCTGTGCCTTCAGGAGCCAGTCACCAGCTGTGACTGTTGTGTGGCCTTCTCTAGGTGTCCATGGGCTGTGCGAGATGGCTGCTGCAGGCACGAGGGCACTCTGGATAGCTGTTTGTCCGCCAGCCCTTTGCTTGAGCGGCGAGAGAGGCTCCGACATCTGCTCCCTACGACTTTGATTATTTACAGGACAGTGGACATCGGAGGGAATGCTAGGTACGATAAGGGCTCAAAGATCTTATCATTAACACTGGCAGTAATTTTAAGAGATTTTTGACATTGTTTAACACTACCCTGGGCCCCAGGACGGGATGCGTCCCCTTCCCCCTGCCCCTTTCACCTCTGACCTTACTGAGTGCATCTTTTGAAGTGAGTAAGAGATCAGGGCACAAGGAGGAACCAAGACTGTCCAGACACAGGATGTGTTCGAGTTCTTGGCATGTCAGCAGCAGGAGAGTGAGGTTAGTCTCTCTTGCCCAGTCCAGCTCCCTTCAGGAATGAGCCGCTAAAAAAGCACAGCAGGCATTCCCGTCAGGGGCTCTGCCATGGTGTCTCCCCCGTCTGCACCATAGCTTGTGCATATTTGAGGGATGCTATAATAAGCAAGCAAATTCAAAGTGACCCTTATAGTATTTTCTACTGTAGGGTGAACATAAAAAAAAAAAACGAAAGAAAGAAAAGAGAAAGGAGGAGGAGAAGGTGGCTGACTTTTCTCATCCATGCCTGCACTTCTGCTTCATTCTCTGTAAGAAGGACACAGGGTGCTGGGAGATAGCGCAGTCAATTCAATGTCTGCTATGCAGGCATGAACGCCTGAGTTTGGATCCTAGGGACACGTGTCACAGCAGGCATATTGGCACATGCTTGTCATGGGGAGAACAAAGACAGGATGACCCTGGCTGAATCAATAAAAGACCCTTTCTCAAAAACTGAGAAGCAATGGAGGAAGACACCCAATGCAATCTCTGGTCTCCTTATGTGTGTGTGTGTGTGCGTGTGTGTGTGTGTGTGTGTGTGTGCGTGCATACACGCAAGCACGCACACACACGCACTCACACACACTCGTGAAAGGTAATTTACTGACTGAGCTACTTGCCCAACCTCCTGACTTTGCATTTAACAGCCTTCATTGCTCTCACATAGGACAGTCATTCCAGCTGTTTGTCTAGCCAACCCTGATGATGTTTTACAATCTAATACTGCTTACAAGCCCGTTCTAGTATTGATTCCAGTATCGAGCAATCCATCCTTCCTGTTTCCCAGGGTCTTCCACCTGTACCAGGTGAATAAACACGCCAAGCCCTGTGGACTCTGAAAGAGGGACTGAATGGGCCAAGTGTGGCTAAAGGCAGGTGGGTGCTGGCTATGAGCTGGCACAGTCCTTCCTCTCGTGGGACAATGGTTGCCCTCCACCTTGCTCTGCGACGCCCATCAGTTCTAACAAGCTCAGCCCCACTGGAGAGTCATGAGCCAGGGATGTCATGTGAACCTTCCCTTGTATGAACTCTGTGCGATGTAGACAGTTTGCCTATCTGTGCTGGATATTAGTTTGTTCACAGGAAACGTGAGGAAGCCAGGAGTCTTCCTTGCAGTGTGTATGGGGTGCCATGACACTTCAGAAGACATCATGCCCTCTCTCTGCCTGTCCCCACTGCAAGCAAGGTCATGGAGTGTGAGGGGTTCTCCCAAGAACCGAGGATTCCAGGTTATACGGGCAGGAAGGGGCATGAGAGAGGATTTCCAAGACCCATACTCTGGGTGGCCATGTGCTGCTGAGGGAGACCCTCTGGAGGAGCAGGGAGAGGATTCAAGAGATGCAGGGTAGACTAGGATGATACCTTCTTGGAAACAGGAAGGAAGGAAAACCTCACTTCTCCAGAGATTTCCACGGTTGCCACCACTGTCCTTGGGTCTACAGTACTTGCCCACACGTTTCCAGGGGAGGAGACAAAAATCAGAATCTCGGTTCTTTGAGCATTAGCACTGCAGGCAAAATCTAGGTGTGGCTCAGGTACCCCACACAGCTGTACAGATGCTGCCCAGACACTCCCAGACAGCTCCAGCTATCTAGGGACCATGGGGGGCCAGGTCAGATGCTAGCAAGGCCCAGACTGACATGTAGGGCTACTGATGCTACATGCCAGGTACATGGTCAAGCATTTCACATATGCTGGTTGACTTCGCCTTACATCCAACCGACCAAGTGGTTGCCATTACCGATCTCATTCGACACAGATGCCATGAGGCACAAGTACATAACTTGTCTCACCACCAGCACCTTAAATTCCTGAAGGCCAGAACAAACGGGATATGAAATACGGCAGTCTCAGGAACTGAGGTGACCACTGCTCTAGTCTCTGGCATTTCTACCTTCTCTGCCTCCTTTGTCTTCCGTGTGAGTCTGGCCTCAAACAGCCACCCCAGTCTCTAGGGTCTTCCAGTGTAGAGTTGACCGTCATTCCCTAACTAACTTCTTCCTGCTACAATGGAGATGCTGACCGGAGAGGCAGCACTGTACGATGACTTGCTGCTAAATACTTAGTCGCTGGCTCTTCAAGAAGACAGGAGATGGCTCAGCCAGTCAGGGGCTTCCTGCGCAAGCATGAGGACCCGAGTTTGATCCAAAGAACACATATAAAAAATTTGAGTATGGTGGACTGCAGTAATTCTAGCGCTGCGGAGGCAAAGACTGGCAGATTCCTGTGCTCCTGGCCAGCCAGTCTCGCCAGTGAGCCTCGGGGAAGGGAGAGAGTCTGACTCAAGGAAACAAGACCACGAAAGTGGACAGAGCCTGAAGAACGCACTCAGGGTTAGCCTTCAACCTCCACACTGTTGGACACAGGAACAAACATGTCGTGGTTGATAACAGGCCACCAACACCCTGAATGTGTAAACGGAAGAGGTGTACACCATCTGACCATCTGTTTTTATGAGTCAGGGCAGCCACCGCACCACTGACGGCGTGTGTGTGTGTGTGTGTGTGTGTGTGTGTGTACTTACTGAGTCACTGAGCAGGTGGTCACCTCTGTCCAATCAGCTGTGGATAACGTGGACAGTGGGGGAACGTGGCACAGATACGGCTGCAGAGCCGGGCGCAGATATGGCTGCCAGAGCCCAGCTCTTTCTAGCATAGCAGAACACGAAGGTAAACGTTAGATAAAGACCAGAGGCCTGAAAGGTTACCAAAAACCCGGTGGCTCTGTGTGAGCCCACATCCATTCTCGGTTCAACGGTAAAACACTGACATCATATCAATATGAAGTACTCCCCCAAAGGCTTGGTTCTCAGGGTGGAGCCAACTCCTGAGACACACTGGACTGTCTCTCTTGAAGGCGCCGACACAGGCAATGTGTTCATCCATTCACAGACTCATAATGTGATGATATTTAGGGGGAGCCTGGTGGGAGAAAACAGGTCCTCAAGAGCCCTTTGAAGGGCATGGTAGCGCTCACACCTTTCCATCTTTCTCACTGTGAGGTGAGCAACTGTGCTCTTCCACGCCCTTCCACGGGGATGTTCCACCCCCGACAGACCCAGAAACAATGGAACCAGCCAGCCATGGGCTGTGCCACAGACAGAAACCGTCGGCCCTAGCCCATCTCGCCTCCTTTAAGCCATCTGGCATAGGTCACAGGATGAAGAGTCTGTAACACAAAACCATTTCTGCCCAAGAACTTGGTCGTTGCGGTGACTATCTGAAACCTTTGGAACGGGTTGGTGGAAGAGTTTGGAAATGTCAGCGGAAGCTTCGGTGAAGCCTAGAAGGCTGTGGACAGAGTTCATGGGAAGGTCTGCAGGG